ATTTCTATTGAATAATGGTAAGGGAAAAGGGAGGGTAGTAGGCAGTCTCATTTTTCAGGTTGTTAGCAGATAAGCAACAATGATGGATAATGAGCACATGTGAACAAAGCCCAGTGTTGCAATCAAATAAAGCTTTCTACATAGTTAATCTAATCTAATTTAATGTTATGTGTAACCATTATTGCCCTGAATGGCGATTAGGCATCTTTGTTAAGCAGTTCACTGAACTTATGCAACTCTAGTGGCTGTCATTCATATATATATTTTTTTACTTCACCAAGCCAAGTATTTCTGGGACCAACTTCAGGTGCTCAAAAAACGATTATTTCCTTCTTTCCTTCTCAAGTGCAGGATGGTCCATTTTCTCTTTCCACCCAGAAATGGTAGGTGGGGAGGCGGAAGGTGTTATAAGGAAAGGTCCAGGTCTAGTGGCTGGCATGTAAGCTGGTCCAGCTGTTTTCCATAGTGTTAGTGTTGATCTGACCATCTGGTCCCACAGGAGCATTTTTCCAAATGTCTAAGGGAAAGAGCTGCTTTTATGAGGTATTTGCTCTGTGTTTTGGATGTATTCATACTTCTATGTCTTACAACGACAACACCTTGAAGGCAGGATTGTTCTCTCCGTGTTACAGAGAATCCTGAGGTAGGTGATGACTCGAGGTCATGTGACTTCGAGCCAAGGCTCAGCAGACTCCAGAGGCTGTGCTGGCCAGCCCTGTGCTATGGAGTGAGAGGTGAGCTGTGCGACTTTTCCTCAGGTCTTTCATCTCCTACATGTGTCCTCCAGCTGGAGTCTCAAGGAGGCTTCTGGAAGCTCAAGGTTCTGTGGCTGCTCAAACTTGCTGGGAGAGGGGAGCTGTGGGTGATACACAGACGACTGGGAAGCCGTCTGGAAAATTACCAGTGCAGACTCTGTAGACACAGGAATGTCTCCCGGAGGAGGGTTCAAGTGGGAATGGGCCTGGCTGACTGAGGAATCAGATACTAGAATTAGGAACTATGGGCTTGAAGAGAACTTAGAGGTCATCTAATTTAGTGGTTTTGAAGCTTTTGACCGCAAAGGACTGCTGCTATTAATTTTCCCCAGAGATTTTCTATTTTAAAATATTTTGACTGGTTAAAAAATTTTTAAGGAAATAATTTCATTTTCTGATTTTATTAATCAAAGATATAATAGATGACTACCAAATAGAGCTTCTGATCAGCATGAGGCAACCTGCCTTTCTACACACAGTGGTTGTTACTCCAGCCAAGCACTTGGATGTGGTTTTTAATGAGCCTGTGCAGACATATGGAAGGTGGGGGTGGCAAATGTACAATTTCATTAGGCTTTTTCAAATTTTGGAAATTGTTCAGACAGTCCTCTCCCTGCCATGAGTGCCTTCAAGAACCCACATGAATCTAGTGGCCCCAGTTGGAGACCATTGATTCAGACCTGCTTCCTTATTTTATTATTGAGGAAACCGAGACCCAGATGGGGTAAGTAAAATTTCCAAAGTCATCAAATGAGTTAGTGCGTAAAAGGAGTCTCAAATAATAAAACACATATGTCACCTGGGAAATAGACAGAGTTGGCTGGTTCATTCTGTAGCCAGTTCTGCAGGTTATGAAAGTTCAAAGATCTTCCTGCCATTTTTAATTCTGAGTGTATATTCCTATGATCCAGCTCCTATTTCCTTGCAGTGTTATGTCTGCTTTTTCCGAAATCACCCCAGGCCTAAAACTGGTCCCTATGTTCCACAATTAAACCCACTCATACAAGCGTCTGGAGGGGGAAGCCTGCACAGAATGGGCAGCATCTGCCATCAAGCCTGTTCTCCTCTTTCCTCTTTCTTTCCATCTCTGATCTCATCCCCTTCCTTCCAGATTGTGCCTCATTCCCAAGGTGGAAGGACCTGTTTGCTTTTTATCTGTCTGATTTCTGTCAGTGTCTAGATAGGGTGACCACATTGTCATCACAGACTTTTGGAGCTTGTCTCATTAGTCCCACCCTCCTCACCCTCAGCAGCTGGGACCACAGACAGAAATTTTCATTCTCTACTGTTATCCAAACTCTGGTGTATGAGGACAGATGGATATGGGGGGAGATGAGGTGATTGCTCTTCTTAGAGAGTAAAGGCTTGTTGGGGAAAAAGAAAAACATCCCCATCTAAACCTCACCTCTATACTTCCTATCCAGAACACATATATACCTTCATATCTGACATTTCATTTGACCCTTATATCAAACCTGGTGTGTTTAGGCAGCTCAGGCTGCCATAACAAAATACATAGACTGGGTGGCTTAAACAAGAGAAATTTATTTCTCACCATTCTGGAGGCTGCAAGTTCAAGATCATGGTGCCACCAAGATAGGTTTCATTATGAGGACTCTTCTCTTGGCTTGTAGGTGCCACCATCTTGCTATGTGCTCGTGGAGAGAAAGAGAGATCAAGCTTTCTGGTGTCTCTTCTTATAAAAGCACTAATCCCACCACGAAGGCCCTACCCTCATGACCTCATCTAACTCTAATTACCTCCCAAAGGCCCCATCTCCAAATTCCATCCCATTGGGGGTTAGGAATTTTGAGGGGACACAAACATTCAGTCCATAACACCTGGGAAAGAATTTTTATTAGTTTTCCAAACGAGAAACAGGCACAGAGAAGTAAATATGTTAGACTGAGCCAAAAGAGAGAGGACTGAAGGAGGGCAGTGTCCATGATACTGACCCCTCTATGCACACTGGATGCTTACGCAACTCTTCCCCTTCCCCTACCAACCCAGGAGCTTGATGCGCCATTCCAGCACTGAGCTATTTCTTCTAAATTCTTAGAAGGGTGTAGTCGTTTAGAAATATGTCCACAAATTCTTTGATACTCCTCCTTTCAAAAGGTGGAATCTAATTCCTCTCTCTTTGAATATGGGCTACACTTACCAACTCACTTCTGACAAATAGAGTGTGGCAGAGGTGATGTTGTGAGATTTCTGAGATTAGGCCTAAAAGACACCATGACTTCCTCCTAGCTCTCTTTCAGATCACTGGCTCTGGGGAGGACAGCTGCTGTGTTGTGAAGACACTCGAGAAGCCCTGTGGAAAGGCGCATGTAGTGAGAAACCAAGGACCCCTACCAATAGCCAGTGAGGAACTGAGGCCTCCTACCCACAGCTGTGTGAGTGCGCCATCTCAGATGTGAATTGTCCAGCCGCAGTCAAGCCTTCAAATGATTGCAGCCCTGGCTGTCATGTTGACTGCAACCTCATTAGAGACCCTGAGTCAGACCCTAGTTGTCACTCCCAGATTCCTGACCTATAGAAACTGTGAGATAATAAATGTTTGTTGTTGTAAGCTGCTAAATTTTGGAGGCAGCAACAGATAATTAATACAAAGCAAAAGGCGGTTTATGCTATTCTCAGTTCTCCATTTTCCACATTACCCATGTGGGCAAGCCATACCAACATTTCTGAGCATTGGTTTCCTCTTATAGAAAATAGCAACAATAATACCATACAGCATGCCTGATACATATATATCTAGTACTGACTAGCTCAAAATAAGTGCCCAATAAATTGTGGTGCTGTCAACATCTTATCAGCCGTGTGGCTTCTCCAGGTGAGTTTCTGTCTCTATTGGTTTCAGATACCCACTTCCCTCACATGCAGTGCCAACCTCAAACTTAAGTTAGTGTGCATTGCCTGGCAGAGAGCCTTAACTGCCTAAACCTTCCAGGCTGAGGGACTAGACAGCCTCACTCTTCTCTCCTCGTCTTTTGCTAGCCTCCATTCTTAACCCTAACCTTTCATCTCAGAATTTCAGCTTTGATGCTTCCCACTTCCTTCCTATGGTTACTTTAACCGAAGTGAGTCAGGTCTTACTGAAAAACTGGCCACAGCTGGTCGGCTCCCACCCTCCCCCCGACCAGGGCTGCCTGGGCAGAGTGTGAGGGGATCAGTGTTTACTCAGCCCTTCTTTCCTCCTCTCTCCTCCAAGTCACGGGGCTTTGAGTAGGGCTTCCCCAGCCACTCCCAGCAGACCGCAGTCAGAAGCCGGTCTCACATTTGTCTGGTGGCTCAAGGAGGAAACAGAAGGAGCAGCAGCACTTGAATCCTTGGGTATCCTATCAAGTGGACTAATTGCTTACATTCTACTTGATTGGGTCCAACCTGTTGCCTCCCTCATCTCAGGTCAAGGAGGATTTGGGAGGAGTTTTTAGTGGCGAATACTGATAACAACTGTGTGCACTGGGAACATCTCCTAGTTCGTGGAGCCATGTTAGCACTTTGTCTTAATCCTCATGATAATTCAGGCAAGTTAGTATTCACCCCTGGACCTTTGGAGCTTGAAGAAACAAAAAAACACAAAAACTTCCTTTGCCTGTCTTTCTAATTTTGGTATGTACAGAATCTCATCCTCAGCCTTGAAAATCAGCATGATCTTTAAGGATTTAAGGATAATTCCTTAAAGGATTGAGTTTATGGGAAGACTACAGTGGTCTTGGCTCTTGGCTTTTGAAGTGAGCATAGCTTTTCCTCCTGATCAGATTTGCTTCTCTCTCTCTGGGAGAGGTTAGCTGGCTTTCTTTCTCTGGAATGAAGAATTCATTCATCTACTCTCTGCTATCTTGAAAACTTTGAGGGAATAATTTTAGTCAGAAGTCAACTGACACCATAACATGATTTTAATAAGACCCATTTATTTATTCAAAATTAAAATCTGCTATGAAGACAGACAAACAATGTAACATTCCCAGAGGAATTGAATTGCTTCTAGTTAAAACTGAGTTCTATTAGAACCAACTTTAGGTTGTTATAAATAACAAGCTGGCCACAGCTTTCAAGCATGAAGCAGTAGGGGAGTGAGGTCAGGAGAATCCCTCTGAGCCACTGGACTATTAATTCTCAAGGGGGCTCCCTAGTTTCTTTTCCTAAGAGGGAGAGAGTCTTTGCGACACTCTGGGAGCCCCAGGCCCAGGGACAGGAGAAGTTAGAAGGAGGTCAGGAAAGACAGCTCAACAGCTATAAAGTGTGGTCAGGCCTGGAAAGGAAGCTTCAGTTGGCTCCCCAAAAAACATTTTTTTTCCTTATATAACTTACAATTTCTCTTAAAACAGTCAAATACCATAGGGAGTCGCCCTATGGAAACAGCTTAAACATAGGTGAAAATAATAAATATTGAAAAAAATTATAATATTGGGCTTCTTTCTAAATAGTTCACAGAGAAGCTCAGTAAATAAATAGAAATGGGAGTTGAGGTATCAGGGGTAATAAATAGTCTAGGAGAGAGGTATGACAGGTTTTTCCAAGGAGCTGGTTGGGCTCTCCTAGAACCCTGGATCAGATTTGGGAGATCTCCAATTTACATCCTGGAGTCTAGTAGAGTTGCTGTCCTGGATGCTTTGTTCCCTAGGGTGTTTCAGTTTTTCATCTTCATCGTCATATAGGCTTCTATGTAGTTGATGAAGATGTCAAACTCACTCATGGCTTTGTAGACACCTTTCCCTTGGAGCTGTGTAGAGAGACAAGAAATGTTTAGTGAAAACCCCATCTGAGCGAGTAAGTGGGTTCCCCACTTGGATAAGCATGACCCTGGGACCCAGAAACTGCACCTGCTCCCTCATGTCGGGAGGTGAAGGATGGACCCTGGGAACCTGAGGATATACCCAGCTGCCTTGGGAAAGGCTGTGCATTGACCTGAAGCATGGCTAGTGGGTAGCAAGAGGAACATTCACTTTGCAAAGCACCGTCTTCAAAATGGTGCCTTTTCAACAATTTTAAAGGTCATGTGCTCACATGATGCTTATTCAGAATTTGATGAAAAGACATTAGAGGAACCACTTTGAAAGCAAGACAGGAGAGAAGGAGAGAAGGGAGCCTTTTTTTATGTTTATGCTCCCCCACCAATGGATGGAGCCGGCCCTGCCCTGCTGCTCCGGCCTACTGTCAGAGGCTTAATGCTTCTTGATGTTGGAACCCTGCCCAGTGGCTGTCCCCAGCCCACGAAGAGGACATAGGCCACATGGCTTTTGGGAAACAGGGTGTAAGAGTTCACGGACAGTGGGAAGCGTGAAACCCCATTTGGTCTGAGAGCCGACATTCTCAGGCACTTTGAGAGGTGTGAATGGCAGATGAGAAGTGAGCATGGACCAACTGCAGGTGAGTGAGATTCTGCCTCCTGCCCTGGTCTGAGTTTTAGGGAGTCCGGGCTGAACACCTGGGTGTGTTTGTATGCGCACATTCACGTGTCAGCTTCCTGCACGTGTGGCTTCAGCCTAGATTCCCAACAAGCTACTTTCTGTTTCCTTTGTCACTCTCCCCAGCACCCAGCTCACTGTGTTCACAGCCTGACTGGCTGGCCTAACCCACAGGCCTGCAAAGGCGGGGAGCAGTCATTTAGAAACCCCCAAAGACACTTCACAGAAAACAAATATAACCAAGGCGGCAGCTCCTCGCTGGCTGAGGAGGTCACACCATTTGTCGGGTTCCCACACTCCTTCCGAACGAAGGACCGGGCTGCTTAGCACCTGCCAACCTCCACCCCTTGGGCAGCGGGCAGAGGTCATGGTCCCCAACCCTCCCTGCCACCATCCAAGCTCACCTTACTAAAGGCACTCTTCACCTGCTCCACTGCCTTGCTCTTATTTTCACAGGGCAGAAAGCGATGCTATGGAAGGAAAGAGAAAGTGTTCACGACACTGGCTCCCAGTTCCCGTGTCCGTAGCACTTGGGAGACAAGCTGGTAGCATGAAGAAGGGGCCAGACTCATCTTGAATGCCCACCCCACATAGCTCCTGGGGAGAACTGAGCCCTACCTCATCCTTCCCTCCAAGACAGAAGAAACAGCCCAGGGAGATGAAATATGTTTCTCTAGAAGCCACTCTGAGATGTTTGCAAGGCTTGCATGAAAACCCAGGTCTTGGAGCTCCCCACCCTCCTCTGCCGGAACCCCACAGTGCTGACCAGAGTGCTGAGCCAGACATTCTGTCCTTTCCTGCTTCTCTGTCCTGTCCCTCTCCTTCAGTCCCAGCCACTAGGGCCATTTCTAAGTCCCTGAGGAACAGAGACACAGTCTCAGCCATGCAGACCAAGCGCTTTGCATTGTCCTGTCCCACAGATAGAGACCAACCGATGTCCCTGTATCAGTGAGAGAATAAAGGAAACCAGGGCATCATTTTAATTGGAGAAATAAATTATCCTGGGGAATTATTCATAGATAATGGCCTGGGGGTGAGTAGCTCCCTGGACCTTCTAAATACTAGGGGAAACCTGTCAGTCAGTTGGGCCCCACTTAGAGCTCTGCTTTCAAAAAATTGAGAATAAGAGGTAAGTAGAATTTCCTGTCCCCAGGACCCCCACCTCCTGGCCCCTCCTGCCAGTGCCAGGGCCTAGGTCTAAAGGGACAAGGGAGCCCTGACTGAAGCTCTGGGCCCCTTTCATGAAGAGAGAGAGGAATAGTTAATAACCCACAAATGACTCACAAATAACAGGAAAGCTGTTTGCAAATCTTCACATGTAAATGCCTAGCAGCCACCCCACCCCCTGCATAGAGAGAAATGAGTAAAAGATGGAACTCCAGCGCCTTCCCGAGAGTGCTCCTGCCAGCCTGGTGTGTGTCTCTGGTGTGAATCGTGTGAGGAGATGGTGTTTCGGGAAGAACAGAGGAGCTGCCAGGGAAAGGACTGGTCTCCTACTCACACATTGCCGCAGCCTCAGCCTCAGGGTCTTCAGCTTTTCCCCCAGAGAGTTCACGTGCTCCTTGATGTCTGGGCCGTGGTTCTCAGCCTGGGGCATCACCTCCTCCAGGTAAAACTGGATCATCTCCGACAAGGCTTGGCAACCCAGGTAACCCTAAGGGCAGAAGCCAGAGGGGGTGGTGACTGGGAGGCAGAGCTGCTGGGCTAGCTTGAGAGGACAGCTTTGTCCCCAGGGATCTTTCCTAACCAGCCGCCTCCCCCTAGGACTGAGCCCTTTGTAACCCTCGGCTGCTGGCTACGTGCTGAGTTAAGATCTTCTCACTTCTCCTTTTCAAAGCGACGCAGGCTTGCGGCAGAGCCTCCCTTCTCTTAGTCACGCTGCGCTCCCCACTCCCCACCCCGGCTCTTACCTTAAAGTCCTCCAGCAAGGACCCGTTCAACAACATGTTGTCCAGCTCGTCCTTCATTTGCTGTAAAGAACACAAGGAGAATGAGCTTGAGGTTTGGGGAAATACCTGAAATGAATGTCTTTCTGATGTCCTTTTATTTATAGAGTTTTTGATTTTTAATCAATGCAGTCCTGGCCCAAAAATGGCAAGGAGACTTTTCAAAATAGGACATTCAACGTGGCTGGGACCCTTAGTTAAACCAGGTCCTCCCTCTTGGGATCAAGTGATTTTAAAAATCTGGCCGATTTTGAAGCCAAGGCAGAAGCTTGACTCGGTCCTGGTCTTCTTTCTGCAGAGCCATATCACGCGTGAAGGACCCCCATGTCAACCCTCCGGGGCTCTGTGCTTTTCTTTCTCCCTGCTGCCCACATCCAGCTGCAGCCTTGGAAGGTCTCTGGGAGTGGGAAGCATCTCCTAAGGCAGGTTTTCCCCTGTATGGCGCTTCCCCAGACCATGAGTCTTTCAGGTTCTGGAAGCCCTCTAGGCTGAGGCAATTTACATTTCCCTGCTTAGGGTATGGGGAACGTCTTCACATCCAATCAGACCCTACAGGATTTCTCCCAGCCAAGGAAATACGAAGCTCCAAGAGAATCTTGTAGAAAGTTTCTGAGCACAGGGGAGAGTACGTTTACCTTCTAGGCAGCTTTTCCTGAGTATTTGCTGCATCACCCTGGCTTAGCTTAACTCACTGAACCCATGGCTTGACTTGGGACTCTCTTAAGAATTTAAGTTTGGGGAAATAGATGCTGGGGATGGAGGTGAGCAAGAAGGAGGGTCCCTACAGCTCTAGCAGAATGCCTGGTTCAGGAAGGAAGGATGGACAGGAGGGCATCATACTCACAAAGAAAGTCTTCACCCTGCTGAAGGCAGCTCGGAGCTCTTGGAGCATGTGGGGCAGGTTGGCTGGGAAGAGGGTGCAGCTGCCCTTAGACTGGGTACCCTCGTCTTGGCTGGCTCCCACCCCGGCCAGGAAGATCAGGCAACACAGTAGCGCTGAGCTGGGCATGGCGGAGCTCTGCCTTCTTCTGCGAGTCGGCCTTGTGGTTTGGTTTTGCAAGAGCAAGGCCCTGATGTGTAGACCTTCACCTCCTGTGTCCCCCTTTTATATTGTGGGTTCAGTGAGGCCTCCCCATTCATAAAAAGCCACAGAGTCACAAATTTCCTGGCAAACGTTTTTTTCATTAAAGCTCCTCCCTTCTCTAGACCTTTTTGCATTCGTTGAACTTCTTATTCTTAAAGTATTTTTTTTGCATCGTAAGCAAAAAAGATAGTTGAAAATGAACTTCTGCATTACGACTATTTTTAGAATGAGCTACCTCTCTCTCTCTTTTAAAATAATTTTACAGCTTCTCTCAATAAAAAAAGTTGATTTCCGGGGGTGAACAGCTGTCCCGTGCGCAGAGCTGTGGGTTCCATTCGCGTGTTCCTAGGTCACAGTGACGTGGACAAGTTGGCCATTCCAGAATACACTGGGATTGAGAAATAATTGGATCCCCTCCCCAACCTAAGTTGAACACCCAAGGCTTCTCCTTGCTGAATCAGGATGTCACCTCAGCTCTCTGGACCTCAGTTTCCCCAAGTGAAAATGAGGGGGCGAGCTGAATCTCCTCACAGCTGCCTTCTGGTTCTTTCGTTGTATGTTCCAAGGCTGCCCCTTGAAGAGGCCAGCTTCCTGCAGGACAGGCAGGGGCAGTGGATGTGCTCCAGACTCCTTCCCTAGCCCCGGGTTCATTTAGACTCTCAGGGCCGTGTCTCCATCTCTCGCTGTCCCAGGACCTGGCGGAAGCTGGTCAGAGTAGTCCACACTTACTGAGAGCTCGGTACCTGCCAGTCACCATGACCCGAACTGTTTCCACTTTAGAGTGAGCACACCAACACACAGAGATGCTCAGTAACCTGCACAAGATTACACAGGTGCTGAGGGAGGGGCCTGAACTTGCATCCAGGCCTGCCTGACACTAACGCCGTGCTCCTCACCCGGCTCTGCACTGTCCCCAGTGTGTGGAATGACAAGATTGGATTAAGGAGTCCTTAAGATTTCTTTGAGCTAGGAACTTCTGTGGCTGGAGACTTAAGCTTGAAAGATGGGGAGGAAGAAGTAGAAATACCAAGGAAAATAAGTCTGGATTCCACGCGGGCTGGACAGCAGCCCCATTCCTTCCTCTTACCTGTCCCTTCTCCCTCCCCCAGAGAAACCTTCATCATCCTGTCTTGGATTTGCACATATGAGTGTGTGTGCATGTGTGTGAGAGTGTATGTGTGTGTGAGTGTGAGAGTGTGTGAGTATGAGTAGGGGCAGAGTAGCCAGATGTGGTAAGGAAGGTTGCTCTCCCTCTAGTTAGGAAAGACGGGGTGGTGGCCTCACTTCTTCAGATGTCTGGAAAGTCTCTGGGGGTCCTTTGATTGTGCTTGACTTCCCCTTCCACAGCAGCTCCTTTACCGCCCCAGTGGAGACAGTAACTGGGAAGAGCACTGACCTGGGCTCCTCCCTGGCTGTCACTCTTCAAATCAGGGCAAGTCACTCGGCCTCCCCGTGTCTGTTTCCCATCTGTCTCAAGGGGCAATCGTACCTGCCTCCTGCCTGCCAGGGACCTTGGCTTCGCATGGGGTGGGTTCGGGGCAGTAAGGTGTGGACCCAGCTGTGGGATATCTCCAGTGTTTCTGTGATTTCGTGGCCCTCCTGCATCAGCGCTGGGACACCTCAGGTGGCACCGGGTTCTGAGTCTGCCCCACTGGAGAAGGTCACCGTGCCAGAGCAAGTGGGGCGACATACTAGGGCCAGGCCGGTCTGGAGTGAGTGGAGGGAGGAGCAAGAGGGTTCAGGGCCACCTCTGGGTGTACCTTGTGGGTCAGGATCAGGGGACTGTGGCCTCTTCTCCCGACCTTTCAGGGAGTGTTAATGTAGAAACCTAAGAATCACGAAGGGAGAAAGAGCCTTTTAGAAACAGGAGTGGAGCTAACTCAGGAATTGCTGCTCCTGCCAGGTTTATGCTGGGCTTAGGAGTACTGAGTTTTGCCGTGAGGAAGCAGAGAGAACGGGCCAGAAGCTGGATTTTGCATCCTTTCCTCCCTTCTCCTGTCCTCTTGGCTCCTCGATTTACTGGGCTGTGTCTGCTTTAACCTGGAGGCTGACCACTCTCTGAGCTGGGTGTTCCGGGTGCAGACTCAGCGTAGGAGACCAATCAAGCCAAGGACCCGAACCCCAGGCGAGGCTCTGAGGCCCCTCTCCCTGACCGAGGCAGCACGGACTCCTTATACCTTTGTTTGCACCCTGCCCTGTGCTTCCCTCCACTGCTAGATCTACCCCCATGTTGCTGTCACCCATGTGCACAGCTTGCCTCCCCCAGTCAGCTGTGAGCTCCCTAGAGCAGGGCGTTGTTTTATTATTCTTTGTGTACCCGGTGCTGAGCACAGGGTCTGGCCTGTGGAAGGTGCCAGGTACACAACTTCTTCTTTTTTATGTTGGGATGGGCAGAGTGCCCTGGGAGCCTGGACCAGGGCTGCAGGAAGCAGGGCTACGGAGGCTGGTCTGGGCACAGCAAGCACTCAGATGGATAGGGAGAGAAATTCAGGGAGGCAAGCAGCATTTCTTCTACTTCTTACAATTTGAGACATATATGTAAATATGTATACCCACACACACACACACACACACACACACACACAAGATGGCAGGGAGAAGGGAGGTGGGCAAAAGCCATTTCTATCTTTCTTTAATTCATAGTCTATTATGCAGGGTTAGGGTTAGGCTCTGAATTCTTTCTTTGTTTTGGGATGTATAGTCAACTATCTCAGGCCATTTGTTGAAAACAGTAGTTGATCCTTTCTCCATTGATTTGAAGACATTGTCCTCTCTCTTCTCAAAATTTTTAGAATCTAAATGGTCAAAGATAACCTTAGGCAAGTTTCTTGATGCAATTCCTCAATTAACAAGAGAGTAGTTACGAACATTTTGGAAAAAGTTAAGACCCTTTGCTTTTATATTGACAAACAACAAGAACACCAAAGATGACTCCAATTTCTCAAGGCCGTGAAGGTGTCTGTTCATCTGAGAAGACATTAGGATCCACGGGGAAAAGTGCCAACCTCACAGGTCACATCCGAGACATAAATGCCAACAATCCGCATGTTAGGAGATCTGAGTTTGCATTTCAGTCCCAGGGCAGATTCCGTGCAGGGAAGGAAGAGGGAGGGCAAGCACCCACGGGGGGATGGAGTGTCAGTCTGGGCACCATTGGGTCCTGTGGATTTCAAGAGGTCACAAATACTGCTCGTCTGACTATGAGCTCCTTGAGGGCAAGCAGCCTGCGTCCAATTTTCCCTCAAGTCCACATGCATAGCAGGTGTTTAATAAATGCTTATTAAATTGAATTTAAATGAATTTTTCCAGTGGGGACTCACTGGGAAATCAGAGGAAGGTGTGGGAGGGGAAAATACCTCTTCTCTCCTACCCCTGCTCCAGAATATTCCCTAATTTCTATATTTAGCTGCAAATGAAAGGAAATCTGACTAAGCACAGCTTAAAAAAAAGGGGGTATTATTTTTTGGTCTCACCCAACAAGAAATTCAGAGGCAGGCCATCCGAGGCTGGTGCAGCACTCGTGTGTCATCCAGACCATGCTTTCTTTGCCTTCCTGCTCCCCTATCCACTGCTGCAAGATGTCAGGGAGAGAGGATGTGGGTCAAGTCCACAGGTTCAAGGGCACATCAGCCCAGGAGATCCTAATAATCTTTCCAGAAGCTCCCCTCTGTGAGTGTCACCTGCAGGAGTCCAGGCAGACAAGAACCGCTGGTGTGTGTGTGAATAGATGTCGAAGGGTCCTAGCCACAATGCACAAGATCTTATAAAGAATTGCCTCCAGCCGCCCTCGTGCACCGCAAAATAGCAGCCTTCCTGGCGTAGTTGCTCTGTGCCTGCAGCAACTCTGCAACTCAGAACCAAGAGTGGGGACAGCCCTGTGGGGCTGCACTGGATCCACAAAGGGAAGGCTAAGGAATCTGGGCTTGCTGGACTCAGGGTTCAACTGGTTTGCCTGGCAATAGGGCCTCTCAGGAGGGAGCAGACAGGTCAGTGGTGCAGGCAGAGAAGGTGGTATGGTGCCCACCTGGGGCAAAGGAGATGACTGTCCTGATGAAGAATACCCTACGGGCTTGGCTCCTACTTGCCCATTAGTAGGCATTCTTTTAAGCTGATAATAGGAGTTTCATTTCTTCTTATTCAGGACATTTAGTGCGTACAATAGTTTCCCCAGCTTGAAATTTCTAGTATTCCCTTGAATAACCTTCCTCAGCTCCCTGGACAGGGGATGCCTTGGTGGCTATGCTGCGACAGTATTGGTCAACAGCACAGAGTCTCGCATCACACCCCACAAGTATGGCCGGGTGGGGGCCCCAGGGGCTGGGGATCTGTGGCGTCTGTGGTGCTGTCCTCCTCTTACTTTGGCCTTGTGGCTGGGGTGCCCAGAATAAAGTCCTGGCCGGTCAGAGGTATAGGAGGAGCCCAAGCTGGGGCTGGCCCCAGGGCGAATCAAGCAAGGGTTATGCAAACCGGATTGGGTGCCCTTCGAAGGACAGTAGCCGGCAGACAGTGCAAACCACAGCGGAAGGACTGATCTCTGGACAGGCCATGTGGAATTCCCCTTTGTGCAACTGGGGTGCCAAGTCAAGCAGTTTGGATTTTCCTTAGGGGACGGACGCTGCGATCTGTAACTTCTCACATGAGACATTTGGCTTACACAGGCCTGGCCGCCAGGTGTTGCAGCCCTTGCCACCCAGAGGACACAGCTGTTTCTGCTCTGTCTGCGTGAATACCTAGAATAACTGGTGGGTTCCTGAGCCTGGGGCACCAATGGATTCTTTCAGCTCTAGGGCTGTTTCTCTGGTGGGGTTCAGTTTACCCACATCTCCTCTTCACGGCTGACACCTCACACCCAACATGTACAAGCGGGGCTGGCTCCGGGGCCCTGCTACCTGTGTAGTCGCACAGGGTCCCATGCTTAGAAGGGCCTTGCACTTGCTCTGCTGTCACTGTCTTGAAATTCTTAATAATTATTGAGCAAGGGGCCCCCCATTTTCATTTTGCACTGGGTCCCCAATTTGTGTAGCCAACTCTATATATGAGACTAGACTCATCATCTTCTTTCTCTGGTCTCACCTTCCTCCTGCACTCGCTAACTCAGTAAACGG